TTTTTTTTGTTAATATTCTACGCTATGTCACAGATTTTAAACCGCGTCATATTCTTAATAATAGTTCCTACAGCATATACCTCTCTCTACAAATATTTATGTCTACAAATATTTATCTCTTGTACAACATATTCCATGCTTATATACTTTTCTGCAGGAATACAAATTTGTAAAATCGTATGCGAGAAATATTCGTCAATTGCATTTGTTGAACACCATTTGTTATTTTTATGAACTGTTCCACCACGATACACTTTATTATCTATATACTGACATTTGTGTTATTGTGTGTACAATGTCGTTTGTGTGTGTGTGTATGTATGTATGTGTACACACACACACACACACATATATATATATACACACACGCACGCACATACACGCGCGCGCGCACGCGCACGCATACACACACACGCGCACGCATACACACACACGCGCGCACGCATACACACACACACACACACACACACACACACACACACACACACACATACACTATGTGAAATACGTTGTCCGAAAGACCGTTCAATGAGGTGTATGAGGTTTTGCTCCCCTTAATCGACGTTCCTTCTTATTAAAATATTAACGCAATAATTATCTCACTTATACATTATATAAATCGATACACACTTATTTAGGATTACTTAGTATCTACCCATCTCAAAAATTTAAACGCGATAGTACATTTATCCCTACAACTTTTTACAAGCAATATTCAGTCATTAACTTTCATTTTACTATACACACAGCAAGAATTAAAACGCTCTATCACTCTGGAATCTCCGTTTCCGTTGTAGGTACCTGCTTCTGTACCATACATGACCTAGCTACAGATTCGAACAATCTGAAACAATAAGAAATGTTTAATTTATTTAAAAAAGAATGAATTGATTGCACGCTAAAATTAAGTTTATGCCCTACATTTAACGCTAAATGCAACTAATTCTGAATTTTATTTCTTTTATTAATATTTTATCAATAAAAATCGTGTTAAGATTCAAACGCATTTAACGGTATAAATTTTGTTCACTTTTCATCATATATGACAAAAGAAATTGAAATCTGTATCAAAATTAAAGTCTTAATTTAAGTTTTAATTTCACATAGTATAATGTCGAAATGATACCGATATAATCTATAGAAACACTTCGATATTATATCGATATCATCCCGATAACGGTGTCATGCAATGCCGGATATAATTTCAACAATTTAAAAATATAGTTTTAGAGAGAGAGAGAGAGAGAGAGAGAGAGAGAGAGAGAGAATCGGTATAGAATAGAAATTATTTCAATATTTAATTCCTAAAAAATTAGAAAATAAGACTTACTTTTCAATCTCCGGCGCGCAATGTACAAACTCGTGTGACCAAAATTTATACGTCGGATTCTTGATCAGTTCGATGAAAGTGATGAGAAGTCCCCATGGATGTGGTCTGTTTACAATCAGTCTTTCCAGAAGAACCCTCGTGATTTGTTCCTGTATCGCTTCCGTATTCGCTTCCGCGAATAAGTAGAGAATCGTACAACTGAAGTAATGCGTGTGACTGTTAGGATATCGTAACTGATTCGCTATGGCGTTTAGGAACAAATATCGGCCTTCGGTATCCAGATCTACGGCCAAATTCTGGAAGATATCCATGTGTGCGGAATGTGCGATAGTAGACATGTTAGGAGCGTGACCTTTGCTGCGAATAAATAGTATAGCTTGTGTGCCTACGTAGAGCACTAGAGCATTCATCAGCTGAATGTTATAGCGTACGCCGGCCTCTTGCGACACTTGTAAATTGCTACGAAGTTCGGATAGAAAGGTGACCGGTGCACGAGCCTTCAGATAAGAATCGAGTTCTTTCTTGAAAGTCAACGGCTGTATTGTTGACGCGAAATTGGTGAGAACACGCGGAGGCTGCGCTATTTCCTGCAGCATATCAACCTTCAGATTCGGCGTGAACGGATCGGGTAGACGCATATTTCTCGGAAACGCACTCAAGATTAGATTTCTCATTTGTATGCAATTCGGTGGTATCACATCGCAAAATCCATAATGATAATCGCAAAGGAACTCCGGAAAGTCATGAAGCAGTACGAGCAACACACGCAAGGTCCCTTTGTACAGACTCGTCACAGGCTTCGCTAGCTCCGCATTTCGAAGATAAGGTGCGAGGTACTTGAATAGATCGATAAGAAGTTGCGCGTACATCCCCCAACATTTTTGCCCGGGCGTAATAGCCAGCATGCGACCGATGAAGACTCGGTGCGAAACCAACTCCAGCCAGGCATAACAAAAACCTGATGCTTTTGCTGGTCGCAAAATGTGCAGAGTATGACAGAAAGCAGTTAGAACTTGGAAATTCACGGCCTCCAGTACCGGCTCAGGCGCGCATAATTCCAAGAACAGCATGATAAAGATTCTATGATACGGCAATTGTTGGAAATCGGCACCACGTATTTCGTGGTCCTGTAATAGCACACCGGCGACGATACCCAGCACCTTATTCAAAAGATTAATTTTGGTGTGGGTATTGGTAGCATCGCCCGAGTGCTTCACCAGAAGTGCTACGAGACGTACGAACGCATCCAATGAATGGAAGCACTTCGCACGTATTATCGAGGGAGCTAAGCCAGTTTCTGATAGAGTTCGGTAGCAAAGGTCGACGCACATTTGTGTGCTCAACTTGAAGAATCTCGTGATGAGATCGTCAGTCTTCAGGATGCCATGAATGTTCATTTGATGAACAAATATGCTAAACGCTTTCGTGGGATCTCGCGCGTACTGTGGATTATGATGCATTTGCACCCATTCACGTAATAGATATTCTGTCTTATCCATCAGTCCGGGTGGATCGTCAAAATCCCGAGCCTGTAAAGTGTGAATGCATGCCACATGTTAATTATTTACGACTTGCGATAATACCGAGAGACGTATTTCGTATACTATTATACGCAAATTTTTTCATAAAATTATGACATCGATATATAATCGATCGTCGTCAACATAGTACGAAATATCGTTAGAATGATCTACTTAGACTGAATAATCTGGGCAATCTACTTACTCTCACCTGCAGGATTCCAGAATGAATGTGTGCCGTAGGTCCTGCTGGAGCTCTGTCTACCAATACGGCATTCGTATCGTGATTGGCACGTAGTGACTCTACTAGACTTGTCAATCTATAGAGTGAGATTCTGAAATGTGATGTGATTTATACATGCTTGAATAAATACAAGTACAGTATGATTACAATTTAATTGAATAAATATGTCATGTCCATTCTCAAAAAAGAGATTTACTAACTGCTTTGCTTTTATTTTATATTGTGAGGGTAATTGTCAGCACGAAAATTATGTATTTTGACAATTGTCGAGAAATATACTAAGAATTTCGGTAATCAATAAATAACTATATATTTAAAACTGAAATATGCCTAATATATATCAAAAAACGAAACAAGCTATATGACAGCTGTCGGATTGAGATAAATATTTTATTTTATCCAAAATAAAAAGGAGAATTTTGAGTTCTCGGCACATTTTACGCGTATACTCTATCAAATGCAAATATTATTTTATCGAAAAATGTTCTACTATATTTTGCAAGAATTTTCATGATGTATTTTCTCTTCTAACGTCATCAATCAATAACAGATAAATAACAGATGCGGTGGCATGTGCTTTGTAACGTTCTAATAAAAAAATGAAAATAAATCTGTACGAATCTGTACAAATATGTAATAAATTCCTTAAAAAAAAAAATCTCTAAAAAAGAACTAAGAAAAAAAGAATAAAGAAAGGAAAAATCGTGATACTGTATAAGGAAAACTGTAAGAGAAAAGTACTGTAAAGAAAAGTGATCTGAATGAATTATGTCATTTGTCAGATATTCTCGGAAGTTAATATTTAATATTTATAATATTTATAATACCCTTCCGGTGGTGTTCGGTGATGTGACATTCGAGCCAATATCTCAAGTGTATGAAATAAGTCAGTTTCGGTAACATGAGTTGCCTGTCTCTCATCAATCAAATAAAGTTGAACCAACTGCATAGCGAATACTGTTGCCAAAGCATTTCCCGCCTCTACAGCTTGCGCTACAGCTATGTCGTATTGCGGAAGACTAATCAAGTGAGATCTACGAAATACCGTCCAATAATTAATAGCGTCTTCCAGATATTTCCTGAAGGATATGGTTATCAATAACATACCTTATGAGGTAGTCTACAGCTTCAAAGTTATATCGGTAGTCTTCCCGGCATTCGATTAGACAACGAGTCACGTGCTTGTTGGTCCATTGCATACCATACGCGCGTTGATCTTGAAGACACTTCAAGATCCGTAAATGTAGTTCTCTGTAACGTTGTATTAGATTATCAGAGTCGATGACGCCACTATTAAAGATGGGTCCGTCTAATAAACCTTCAACAGCCTGTAATAAATTATTGGTCAGTTCTGTTTTATGCTATAACCTTATGGTCTATTTGACTGTGAATATCACATTTACTCGCGTGTTTTCACTCACTTTCTTTAATAACGCCATAGCTGCATTGGCATCTCTTGATCTTCTCGTAAGTATGATCGATTCTAGAAGACTGTGAAGAATAGCATGCTGCTGTGGAGGTACCGCAGGTGCCATCGCAGCCGCTAAGACTTCAACTTCCGTCGCAAGTTTTTCCAACATTGCACCTACTTCGTCGTTGCTAACTGCTACAGTTGCATAGGCTGCTACTTGTGCTGTAGCGACTGCTGCCATCGCAGAGTTGGGCGTGAATGCAGTGAGAGGAGCCTCCTTTAAAACATAATAAAGAAATAAAAAAGTTAAACGACATTATATCACGAATCTTATTGCAAAATGCAGGTATGCTATAATACAATTAGGCGTATATTATAAAACAAATCCTTACAGAAATAGGTTTCGGTATAAAAAGTGTTTGCGTATCTCGTTCGGAAAGCGGAAGAAATCCTGGAATATTTCTAGCAAATTCTTCATATACAGCCATTTGCTGAGGCGTTACGCCACCGACTTTCAGTCTTATCTGCTCTGGCATCCTCTCGGCTTGATACTTAGCAATAGGATCACAGTATCTTCTCCCTTCTTGCCGAGCAAGTTTTCGCAACTCAACTTCGTTTAATAGTCGTTTGTCCATTTCGGGTACTGCTTTCTCAATAGCTGTCTTTTGTACGAATGCACATGCAAGTTCCATGTTTTCAGTAGCGACTTGATTTGCCGCAAGTTCGACAAGTTCTTTCTGCTGCGGAGTCGTACCAATCAACGCTGTGAGGAACGCTTGTTTCAGATTCGTACTAATCGATGCCAGGATCTATACGCAAAGATAAGAAATTAATAATCGACTGAACATTGTAACTTTTTGATTTAACCGTTAATCTGCAATTATCTTTGTACTTAATGACAATATAAAAAACTTTTTTTGAGACAAAATTTTGTTGTTAAAATGCCTAAATTGATGTTTAAAACCCATATTTAAATATTTATTATTAATTCTTCAAAAGTATTTTAAGCTCACTTATGATTTTCAAACATAGAGAGAGAATGTATTTATTATATATAATAAGCTGAATAAAGTAATTTGTTTTTACATCCGAAATTTTTGTAACTTCTTTTCTACAGATTTTTATAATTTTGTAACGGTATCTCTCATAGTGTTTTCCATTTAACCGTTCTGTCTTTACAACTCATGATATACGACGTAAGGTAGAATGACGTTTGTATCAATATATGTTGCTAAATGGAAAGAATCTATAGACTTACCTGGTCACGACATGTAATCATAGCCATGCCAGCGGTTAGATTGCGCGCCATGTGACGCGCTGCTGTACGTACTCGCAATTCTTCTGGATCCAATGCAAAATCTTTTCTCACAATTTGCTCGCTGGTTGTAAGAGCAATTTTAATGGACCTATCCACGACGGGATGGATCCATTCCTGAATTGCTCTTTCAACAGCAGGGCGAATAAATTGTTTCAAATGAGGATGTGTTTGGAATAGAGGTATCTAAAAACCATTTTACATACATCCATGAAATATATGCCCTAATTATATCTAATATATATATGTTTCATTCTTCTAAATATCTCTTTGATAAAAATAAGAAAAATATAAATTTTTCCATACTTGATTGTTAATGGTAATGTGTTGAGATATATTAGCAATGCCCGTTACAGATATATCCATGTAATTAAATCGTGGCTCGGGTTGACCAGCTGGCAATGAGGGTGTTGTATCCGCAGGTGGCGCAGTTTGAGGATTGATAGTACCGCTCGTCGTCGATCCAACCAATTCTTCCATAGGCCCCTGAGATTGCTGTTGATTACTAGTCGGCTCTGATTTCTTGTTTGGATGTGACAACTGATAATCCAGATTGCGTAATTTTTCAGGATCTTTCAAGTAAATGATCGGTTTTAATTCCTACACAAAAGAATTCAATTTTAATAAATAACAAATTATGTTACAATATCTTAGGTAAGGAAAGAGCATAGGAGTTAAATTATGTTACACATTAAAATAGAACAAAATACAAACATACGCTTACCCCAACATCAATGCTGAGATTCTTGCAAAGTACCTCTATTTCAAATTTTAAGTTCAATTTTAAATCAGGCTCTTGATGTAGCTCGGCTAAAACATTCATAATTGCCATGGTCCATGGATTGGGTGGCCGAAATACACGACTTTTTGCACAACTCTCAAGTACTTTTGCAACAAAGGGCACTACATAAAGAAGCTCTTGCTGCCCTTTATGATATGCTTCAACGAGTAAGCTTTTTAAATCTATGTCTATCTGTAAAATAATTAAAATATATGATAAAAATTATACATTATCCATAATAGTACTATAAATATTTGCCATAATGATGTACCTGTAAAATAGGCTTGTTTCTACCAAGTGTCAACATTCCGAGCCAGTGTCCTAAATTTTTCAATAGAGACCGGTCAGAGAAATTTGCTATTCCCTTATCGCTTCGTAAGAGAACCTAAGATAAAATAAAATTGATATAATATAAAATCTATAAGAGTTATTAAGTATTATCTGATAAAGCATTCATAAAATTCATTTTATCCACCTTGATATTTCGGAATGTTTCTCTTGTTACCATTTTATTCACTTCAGGTAATTTTATACAATCCAAAAAATTAGAGTATAGAGCATGAAAGTTTAATTCTATACTGGCACGTTTCATCACCAAATACTGTGCCATCCATGGCCAGTATTCTTCCGTGACAATCTCACGGATCTCGTCACATTTCTGTTGCAGGTTCAATTGACTGAGATTATTGAAGATGAAAGCAGTTTTATCTTGTAAAGCTTCCGGTGGTGTGGTTATTTTTTCTTCTTTATCTGTTGCCACAAGTAACGTATCGATATTAGTTGCATTGGCGACCGAGGGCATAGAAGGCTGTGGAAATAAATATGTTGTGTTACGGACATATGAAATGGAATTTTGAAGCTAAAAAAGATCTCGACAATTTTTATTATTAAACTTACTCTAGCTGAAAGAGACGTAGTCGGAGTCGTAGATGGTTTCGCTTGTGTAGTGCTAGTTGTGATGGTAGTTGTAGTCATAGTTTTGTACGGGGTTGTTACTGGAGCCAACATTGCCGCTAAAGTTTTTGGACCTTGTGGCCTCGATGGTGGTTCTTGTCCTTGTAATCCGTATTCGATATATTCCACTAAGTGAGGTGGAAATTCGGTGAAATGCGAAATCGTTCGGACGTGTTCGCAGTATGTTTGATATTCCTTCAAACGACTCTTAAATCGATCCAAAGCCGTTATACCAAAATAATACATCTTGCTACCTTCAGGTTTTTTAAGCGCATCAAGAACGAATCGTAGAGCTAATCCAAGTGTCATATAACTGTTAACAAGACCCCTTTCGATAATCCCACCAAACAATTGTGCTGTTATTTGCAATTCCTTTTCCGGATACTGTGGAAAAAATCTGTATTCTTCGAATAAATTTCGCAGCATACAGTTAAACACTTCTCTTTCCCGTCTAATACCAGAGTCTTGGAATTTTTTCAACATATCAAGCACTTCGTCGATCGATAGAGTCGGATGTGGAGGATGATTGTAAATACGTTGAAAATAACTGTTAGCTTCGTCTTCAACCTCTTTGGATACATTTTGTCCCATATCTGGAAACAAATTGGAGGTTTCCGGCATTCTCGCTTTTTCAATACCGGCTGGCGGTCCGAGACGTCCCAATCCACCTATTGTACCACCAGGAAGCACAGATGGTCCCTGAGTACCAACTGGACCTGAGTGTAATTGCGAAGATAACGGCAACATAGGAAATGGACTGGGAGAAGGTCCCATGAGTCGTGAGGGAGATCCGGGCGCCGAAACCAAAGGACCTAGCGCGCCAGGTAAATTGAATGCGGAGCTACTTGGCGGTCCAAGGCCTGTGCCTAGACCCATGGAAGCAAGGCTTGAACCAAGATTTCCAAGAGGATCCACTTGCTTCGAGGAAAATAGCTGTGGAAAATAATATAGTCACATACACATATGATCTTAAATAGAATTTTTAATAGGCAAAAAATTTATTTAATTTAGCAAGAAAAGAAAGGGGAAAAACAAGAAATAGTTTAATATATATTAACAAAATATACAAAAAAAAAATCAAAATACTTGGCTTCCCAAAGTTGCTGGATTAAACGGTTCTAATCCTCGATGCCTCAGAACTCCCGGTGGTGGTGGTCTATTCATGGTGCTCTTACTCAGCATTAGACTACAATTTTGCACCATCGTCATTATTAATTCCGAAAGTTCTTGGGAGACACTTCTACAATATAAAAACAAAAATCCAGATGTAATTACTAGTATGTAATTAAATATTTATATAAATAAATTATATATAACTCCAAAGAAAATATACCCGGCGCAAACTTGCAAGCAAGCCAAAATTGTAGTGAGTGTTTCCTGTGGCAGTTGGCTTGCCTTGGGAACTGTAGGATCTTCTTTGATACCAGGGCCCATGACTTGAGGACACCGTCGTTGTAGAAATTTGACACATGCAGCAACAAAAACTTCTCCATGGTCCCTAATCTTGTCTGTTAACCATTTTTCAAGTTTCAGATACTCTCGTCGAGATGCCAAACAAGCAAGATCAATGACAAATGGAAAAGATTGTGAATTAAGTAAAGCAGATAGTGCTTTTAAATCCTGCGCAACATCCAAGATGCGCGATAATCTCGTTTGATCGTGATCACCACGCGTATACCAATCCGCCATAGCATGCATTATAAGTGTTTTTATTTTGGGATTATTAGCATGCCACGCATGATGCAGTATCACAGCAGAATTTGGATGGTTGCCAAGAAAGATTGGTAATAGCGTAGTAAACATTTCCTGCCTTAGTAATGTAAAAGGTGGATTTATCTGTAGTAATGCTAAAATGAGCACATCCGGGCAATGTTGGAGTGGCCATTTGAAGATTTCATGTACAGGAGTGTACAAGCCTCTTTCAGCCATATGTAAAAGTAACTCGACTATGTTCAATGATCGCCAAGTTTGTCCTTCCTTACTATCGCCCTCAGGAGCTGCTTTCAATACATCGACTGTTACCGAATGATACGGATAATCAGCGAAACAAAATATGTCTGGGCACTTAAGGATTTGCTGAATTAAAGAAAATTGGCCTTCTACATTTTCCCAGTGCCGATACAAAAGCTCAACAGGAAACATATCAGGTGGATATCCTTGATGTTGTAAGCCCAACTTGAGACCCGTGATCAACAAGTTTAAACCTTGCCTGTCTTTAATAAGGAATTCTGCATGATCCAATTTCACGATGACTTCGTTCCAAGACAATGTAGATTGCTGGAATGTAAAAAGATAATATTAATGAAAACTGCATTATGTATAATTTGAAGCTGATGTTACTTTTGCAGCAGCTCATCTTTCTTCCTTTTCTCTCCAGAAGAAAAAAAAAGAGGAAAAAAGGTGAATCGGTGCAAAAGTTGACCTAAAAAGAACGTAGTTTAGAACATAAAAATACAGAATTAAAATTAAAGTAGAATTAAAAAAGATAAATCTTATACATACATATCCTAGACGTATCATAAACTTACTATCTCTTTCAATGTTAGGACGAATACTTCAACGTTCCATGTTGTGGGAATGGTACTGTCTGATGATTTCTCTTTATTGGAGTCTTGCGAGGTAGTTGAATTGCCCCAAAATGTTTGTAGGCCTCCAGCATCATCCAGGTTGCTACAGCTACGTGCCATTTGTGATAATACACGAGCAACACATGCTGGGGATATCTCCCTGGCACCTAAACCCGTTAATGCCGATCGACATTCTTCTATATTACTAGTAAAGCTGTATCCTAATTCCATTATCAACTCTACAAGAGTGTTGCTATCCTAAAATGCAAAAATATAAATGTATTGCAATCTATCAATCCTCAACAAAATAAATAATGTTTTACCATTTGAGTGACAGCCATGTTTAATTCAATTTTGAATTGCAGAGTTTCCTCGTCTGCTGGATACAAGAATGGTGCTAGTACCACTGGTACTAGTTCACGAGGAAAGTCACGTCGCAAATGTTTAAGAAATTTTTCTTTTGTTTCCACAGGTAAATTGTATGGATTGGCAGTATGAAAAGCTTGGCTAAGTATCAGATGAAGGACCTGAGGCAAAGAGTCGTGCAAACCACCTTCCTGATGCTTGTTACTAGTCTCAGAGTTTATGTAATTTTTTATCAATTCAGGCAGCTGCTTTTGAGTATGCTCTAAGGCTAAAGCACGAATTTCAGCGTTTTCTGAATGCTGCAACGCAATCGCAAACGTGACCTCTTGTACCAAAGTCAAGCCAAGTGTTTTCTTCAAATTAGTAAAAAACTTTGGAGAAAAATTTAATGACTGAAAAAACATATATATATACATATATATATATCTTATGTAAGTATATGATCTATTTACAGCAATAGTAATAATGTTTCATAATGTACCTTTTGATGATGTAAAGGATTATCTATAGCAAAGCACAAAGTAGATATAAATGAAGGTTTGCTCAACAAGCTATTACACTCCTGTTTTAGCAACTTTGTTTGGAAATAATCTTTCGCACTCGAATCTGACAGTTCACCCTTGGAAAAGTCAACGCACGATATCAGACAGCGGAACAAATGTCGATCTGCCTCTAGACCACCACACTGCACCAACTGCAGAAATATGAAAATTAGTTGATAACTGTTTGACCTTTGATGACTTTAATACAAAGAATGTATGTTCCATTTGGCGCTCACAACACTCGCGAGCATTTCTTCTTATTTTAACATTTGTTCAACAAGAATGAAATAAATGTTACAAGCGTTAAGTGGAACACATCGATAATACATCGATATACATTTGTAATTTGTTTATTTGATATCTTCTGATCTAATATTTAACTTGTATTTTATAATAAACTGATTAAAAGTTTGGAAGAAATCTTGATAAATGGTAATAAAGTAATAAAGGACAGAATATATGTCAGAATGCAAGAATAGAGAGACCTGCTTATGAGGTTAAGATAGGACTAAAGTAAATATCACATTGTACACACACACACACACACACACACACACACACACACACAAAAAAAAAGATGTCACAAGGATATGGTAAGAAGATAACTAGACAGATATTGGTCGACCAAGCATTCAAAAAAATGACATGAATAACACATAATTTTACATGCTCGCCTATATAACTTCCACATTACTCCATGTGCATATATAACCATGTTCGAGCTATTTACTAGACCTGTTCTTTTTAGCTGAACTTTTGCATCAGTTCATCTTTCTTCCTCTTCTTTCGCCCTAGAGAGAAAAAGAATAATGAACTGGTGCAAAATTTGAGCTAAAAAGAACAAGCCTACTGACTGAAGGAAGCCAAAAGCACACCAACATACCGCTTTGTAAGAATTATGAACAATGTTAGAAGTAGAAGGAGAAGAGGGAAAGAGAGAGAAGAACTTGTGGAGAATTTTTTGAAAGACATGGCATAAGGGGAAAAGAAAGGTGAAGCTTTCAGTTTAACTTCTTTTCTAGGATTAATTCGTTACTCACATCCGATATCTCTTGACAGATGTCCTCGAAACTTTTTTTACTCAAATTCGCAACCAAATAACTGATTTGTGACAAAGTAAAAGACAACGAGTCCAGGTTCATAGTTCCATGAATACGACCTCGAAAGCTTCAAACGCGTTTGAAGCTTTCTTCGGTATCCACGAGTTGCCGCCGCCGCCGTCGCCGCCGACGTCGCCGTTGTCGCTGTCGCCGCTGCCGCCGCAGCCGACACTATCACCGCCGCCGCTGTTTCTTCTGCTGCCGCCGCTGCCGCTGCTGCTGCTGCTGCCGCCTCCACCGTCGCCGCCGCCGCCGCCGCCGCCCCGAGTTTTCTCCACCACGTTAAAAGCACGAAAGTTACATTGGCACAATCCTATGGCCAACATCGGGATTGATATTAAGATACGGATTTTACAGCAACGTCATGGCGAGCGCAACACGGACGGGGCTGACAAAGACACACCAGCCGCTAAGCACAAATTGGTTCTCCCTTCTCTCCAGCTGACTGTCGCTGCTCCTAACAAATTGCGAGATCCGCAATCTTCGTTGGCGATCCGCACGTCGTATACACAGAGCGACACTATTGAACGCCAGTCACTATAATTTACACTGCACTGAGTACCATTCAGTATTCATATATTCAGCGTTACCGCCGATGTGCCGTATCTTCACGGTCAGATTCGCCCATGATGATGTAAAAATAATACGATAAAGGCTGTACAGAGTCCTCCTGCGGGATGCGCCTTCGTTCAAAAAGATCAAAGTAATGACACAAGCTGCTGCTCCAGCTCTCTCCCCCCTCACTCTCTCTTTTTTCCTCTTTTCTATCTTATCGAGATCTGTCGAAAACCAAAACTCAAATGTTGAGAAACGCAATATGGCACCCAATTGTACAACCGTTTACTGACGAAAAAAAATCGCATGCGTGTTGCACATTATTCTTCCCGATGCGATATATATTTCTTCCGCGAGATATATTTCTATTCTTATTTAGACGTAACACAATCACACTTTCACACAAGTAACGATCCCTCACTATTTCGCGTCGATTTGCATTGCTTGCATCAACTCGTGTAAACGATAGACCATAGACACCATCGACTAGAGAAAGAGATCACTGGAGAATTCAAAATTCTAGCCTAGTTTACATCGTGCACTTGATATAAGTACTAACTAGTAATTTTCTAGTGAATTAACTTAATTTTAGCGATACGTCTAAATATATGTACAAATGATATGACATTTAATTAATCATTTTCATGTATAATTGTACATAATGTATTACGTTTATACAACTCAATTTATGGCTTTTATACGTATGTATGCTAACTAGTGTTGGTAAAACTGGTCTCTAGGGATTTTAGTACAGTGCACGTCGAATCCAGCAATTGTTGGAAAACGAAGTGCGAAGAAACTACTACCCTGCATACAAAGTCGGTTCAAATCATCTCGTGTCGCAACTCTCATTGTCCATTTCCACCAACGTAGATTAACTTCAATCTCGGTTCAGCTTACTCTTTATCTTTTTCTAATTTTTACAATTAGAAAAAGACAAAGAGTAAGTTGAACCGAGATTAAAATTAATCTACGTTGATGGAAATGGGCATTACTACGACACTGGAGCGGTCGAAATATGACGTATCCCGTATGAGGAATCCGATCTGATGGTGGGGATACGATGTCGAGTCTTTATATATAGGACTTTTTATATATAGGACTTTATATTTAGGACTCTTTATATATAGGACTCCCGCCTATCGTATATAATTAATGTAATCAGCGTTAAAATAGATGATCATTTGTGTGAGAACACCATAAAATTAATTCCCGAATTCAGGAAGAAATCTTTCTATTTTTTTAATTTTATCGTATTCTTGAATATGCTAATCAATATTTTTTAGTAATAAAACTAGATAAATTAATTTATTTCTCCGAAATTTCACTGAAATTTCATTGAAAAATGTTGCAAAACGTAAAACTGAAAATAATAAGCAAAAAATAGCAATTAAAAATAGAACTGAAGCATGGAAATTAAAATATTTCTGATATAATTTCAAAAATTAATTTTCTAACAAATTGTTATAAGTATTATTAAATATTGACTGTAGAGAGAAACTATACTACGCCAATGGATTTTGCAGGAAAATTAAATTACGAAAAAAACATAATTTTTACTTTTTCACATAAGTTTGCTGATATCAAATTAAAAGAATAATAGTATTATAAACGTAGTTTTATATATATAATAGTATTACACACACACACACACACACACACACACACACACACACACACACAAACGGCTATTGAGTTTTTAGCACTTCTTTCTCGATTTGTGTTATTATTTCATAGCACTTCTAAATGGAAATGGAGATACAGAAAAATAGAAAAAAAAAAAAGAGTCAATGTTCGGGATAAAAATCGGAATTCCCTGTGTACATTCTTATGTTAATTATGTCGTCTAGCATTTATCATGCGTTACGTAAAAAGATGGAGACGCGCCTGTTTGTATATACCAAGGTCGCGATAAACATAGCTTATTTTTTCACAATGATCGTCGCAAATTTGTTCGCTTTTTCGCTTCAAATTCTCCCTATTTACATTTTTAACAAATCATTATTATTGCAGCTAACATTTAGAATAAAAAGTAATGACAGAGAAATATTAAAATAAAATATAAATTTTTTAATTCCTCAATTATATTTAAAAACAAAATATTTTTCAATATTAATTTCATATATAAGTTTTATTTCATTAAAATTTTATAAATTTTAATTCCGATTTAATAAGAAGCTATCAAAGCTTTTCACATACGTTCTGCATAGCATAGATATTTAAAGTATGCAAACGACACATATATGCAGTTAAAAGATTCTTGTTCTCTTCTTAAAAAATATATACCTATGTATAACTTCTTACGTGGAGGATCTCTGTGGAGGGAAGATTTATATTTTTGCAATTTTGATCGATAATACGAGTGCCATATCGATCATTTAAAATTGTCCTATATAGTATAATCCACTATTGTACTTTTGTAAGTTAAAAATGAAATAATAAAATAAAGCTGCAATATAAAGAAATAAAGCAATACGAGAAGCATAACATTGATCCTGAAAAGTAATGGGCGACGTCCAAAGCTTAAATAAATGTGAGGAAATTGACAATCTATTCGGCATAACTTTACGCTCGAAATTCCTGTCGAGTCACTAGACTGGGTTCAATGTCGCGTAGGGAAACGAGTCTTCGATCGATTTGGCTCCGACAATTAAGTGAGACCTCGAGAAAGATATATCCAAATGGAAAACATGGATATATGAGAGAATTAATAAGAATGTGAAATGTTTAGAAGTTTCTTGTGGTAGGGGCGACCAAGTTCAATCTCATCGTATAAAAGTCTTTGAATCTACTGCTTCAAGAAGAGTCAGCCTTCGTGAACGAAAACGTGATCTCAGCAAGGTACGTTACATACCCGTAAATAAAAAAAATGAGAGGATAGAAACATAAATTAAACTTAATCAACTTTTCAAGGGCGACAACACTTTTTGTCAAGTTAAAAAAGAATCTCGTGTATTCAAATTCTACACTATAAAAATTATATCTAAAAGACGTGTTGAAGGCGAACAAATTTATAACTAAAAAAAGTAATAATTATATAATAATGCTTATTTATTATTTATTTATTAAATATAAGTTCGATCAAAATGATGATATCTGGAGACACGGTAGTGTCTCCTAAGGCGGCGCTAAGACATGGCATAATATTTTTATAACGATAATTTATCGTCAGAAATATTATATTTATTTTACATGTTTATTATTTAATCTACGATGTCAAATGATGAAAAATTAAATTATTGTTATCGCCATCTTGCTATTTAGAATAATTAATTACACACAACGTGGTCAAACATATATAGATACTTCTTTCTTTTAAAACTTATATGTACGTTTCATACATATACAGGGTGTCTCATTTTAATTAACCACCTGTCTCTTGAACAGTGCATTTTAGGAAGAAACGCTTTAGGCAAAAGTTTTGTCACTTCGAGGAAGACATAAAGATGGTAAAATGTAATTGCGTTATTAACGTTAAAAATAAAGAAATGTAACGATGTTACTCATTCGCATTATCGAAAAAAAAAGTAATTATAAGGATAGTAGAGGCATGCTACACACTTCAGATCGATTTCTGAAGCATCAAGTCCATGCCATTGATCCTGGAGTATGGATAAAAAAACTTTCCAGATAACACGCATGTTTAAAAGATAAATACACGAAAAGATTAGGAGTATTGCTGGTAAAAGTGGGACTGACTAGTTACAAGATAATATTATAGATATCAAATATGTTCGTTTAAAAAGGAAAATCACTTAATTTCGATAATTCATATAATATATAATAACGATTTCCGATAATTTAAAAAAAAATTGAAATAGGGCCGAAAATGTTATTATCCTTTTATCTAGAAATGAGATATAGGATATAAAATCAGAATTTTTTATAGGAATAACAACTCGATCGTTATTTACGTTTTTTTTAGTATTTGGTAGAATATTTAATCATGAGTAAAAAAATGAACTGAAATATTAAATAATCACTGTGACGTTATTATCGTATTATCGTAGTTTAATATATACATTCATAACAAAATAATGGTAACATTACGGAGTTAAGCGCACACTTTAGAAATAGAAGTGTACATACAATACGAATTGTACTGATCGAGTTTATAAGACAAATATCGACAAATAGCAAGAGAATATCATTTTCTATGTTCTTTCAGATGGCGATAAGATATATCGTGATGCTGACTGCTATGTTGGCTGTAGTCTACGTTCAAGCGGAGTCTCCCATTGTCGGTCAGAATCCGCAACAAACCTTAGTTGCACCTGCGGTATCGGAAGTTGCACCGCTGAAACTGGAAGCGGCATCGGACGAAGTGGCCGAGACGCAATCGCGTAACAAAAGAGCGCCAATTTTACTAAAAAAGGCTCTCTTGGGTGGTGCTCTCCTCGGTGCTGGAGCCTTGGGTGCTGGAGCCTTGGGTGCCGGAGCTTTAGGTGCCGGAGTTCTCGGTGCTGGAGTCATTGGCGGTGGACTGTACGGGGCTAAACAGTGAGTCAATTGAGTATGTCTAAGGAAACTGCCTAAAAAGATGAAATATCTAAATTAAAGGAAGAGAAGATTTTACGTCAAGTTTATAAATCAAGATGTATGTACAAATATAATATAAATATAAAATATTATTAATCCTGCATTCTCTCTCGCTACGGCTACATTAAATCGTGATGTTAGAAACGAGAAGTTAAACAAGTCTTTTTTTCGAGCTATGTCGAGATAAATTAATTGTTTCGCATATTTTCATATTTGATTAAAGTACAAATTAATAAAATGTACTGAAGACTCCTTTTTCGACTAGAGGATTAATGGACAGTTGTCCATTAATTTCATGGACTGCTCGTGACTTTACTTGCTCGCAGGATCGCAACAAATTGACAAAAACTATGGTCGAGTCTGGAATATCCTATCTACTTTTTTAAGTTAGGGTCTTCAATCCTCTCTAAGTTTACTGCAATGTTACAGCTACTTGAAATTTTTACTTAATTTTTATTAAATTTTTCTTTAATTAAAAGACCCATTTTACATGCACGAGGATTAATTTAATTTACGTGATGCTAATCGGATTTCATATTAAGTCTAACTATATCGAAAGTTTCTCCCCCCCCTATCTCTCTCTCTCTCTCTCTCTCTCTCTCTCTTTCTCTCTCTCTCTCCCTCCGTTAAAGATATTAGAATGAAAGTTATTAAGGAAAATGTTGTATTTGTTTTAGCTTTGCTGGTGGATATGGTGGATATGGCGGATATGGTGGATATGGCGGATATGGAAGATATGGAGGATATGGAGGATATGAATATCCCCATTATCATAGTTATCCCTCTTATCAGTATCACTACCACAGCCATCCCCATTATCATAATTACCACCACTATGGTTATGGACCAGGTTATGGCTATTGGTAAATTGAGACTGACTTCGGATCAACGCATTATAGGTAAGAATTATATATATATATATATATATATATATATATATATATATATATATATATTACAAAAATATTATTTGATGTTGTTCTGAATTATTTTCCAATATAATGTACAAAAAAAGATCAAAAACATTACAGGGTGTCTCGTAAAGATCATAACAATATTTAAGGAAATGCTATGACCGAACTTAACTGATGTGTCAATAATAAACTTTTTATCTCCAAACTAACAGTTAATTCTTACATTACCATTCACCGTCTTGTTCAAACTATCCTTATTTAACATATTACCATCTCTTGCAAGATATACACTTCTTACTAGACACAATTACTGCTTTTTTAGACCATTTCATTTGTGCGTTTTTATCGTATGAGAAATTTTTCAAGCCTGTTCTCAACTCGGAGTATCTTTCAATTTTTAAACAAGAATAATAAATGATACTCGGGTTGACATAGTCGAGTTTTGGAACGCACACCCTTTAGATAGATTTGAATGACAAAAAGAAAAAGAAAAAAAATTCAGAATGACACAATACAACGATTACAAATCAATTAATTAAATAATTTAAGGGACAAAAAGAGATTCATTCACAGAGAAATGTATTTATAACAAGTCTTTAAAAATAAACATTTTTTAATTCTTTGCAACCCTTGTGGAAATACAAACGTAACATTACATAAACTTTATTTTACACATATACAAGGGAGTTACCTAAAACTGGCCGAATAACATCCACAATACATTCAGATATTAAATAAGCGTACGTAATATACAAATCGATTTCGTACAGAAGCAAAAACAATTTCTTAGTAAAAATATCATTGCATATTTTGTATATTTTGTATGATCTTGAAATTACTGAGAGAGCCCTCGTGAAGTAGTACCTTTACCTTTTGTTATATCATCGTGCTTGAGCGCACGAATTAATGTCAGTCCCCGTGATTATAGTAAACTTTAATAATTATTAATTTAAAGGTATTGTCTCGATATTTTGGAATTTGAATTTTCGACTTAAAATTTTCTCAAGAATACCTACTTTTGTATACGAAAAATTTATCTTTTATGTCCGTTTTAACAGCAACATGAATTTTTCAACATTTTAAAATTTTTAATCGCTATTGTGCATATTATATCTTGATATTTTTTTTCTATTTTAGGTTCAGTCTATAGAGAAGGATCTCATAAACAAAGTAGCACAAAAAAATTGAAAAGTTCCAACTCGTTCATCCACAATCGTGGCAAAACCACAACAGTGTGCAAATGGCACAGTCACTTTCAATTGCTTATATCTCCTTTAAATATTCATATTTTTTGGACATCTGATTTTATTCAATAAAGAAACCTTAATGACATACTAAAAAGAAAATTTTCTCTAGAGCTCTTAAAGGGATTTCCGGTACATTTAACTGTCCGGTGACAGTACCACGAATATTACGAAGCGAACAGATTGCATGAAGAACGCTCATCAGATGCATCAATTGCCTCAAGTTAAAATAGAAGAAGTTAATGCACTAGAAAGAGTGCTAAGAAATTGGTATGGATAATGCAATCTGGGAAATTCTCAGTGCTTTCAATGCGCACATTGATTAAATCGGAAATGATTTTCTATGACAGTGTTCGTATATTATCGCCAGTTGTTAGTACAGTATAGTATACGTAACGGATAATACAGATATTTTCAATATTGGCAGTTAACTGACAGTAATATACGAATATGGCCTATGCATTGTGATCTATTTGCGTAACTCGGAACGTAACGCATCCCTAAACGAGGCTTTATAACACCTAGACTCGATTGCACCAACGTTACTTTAATTTTAAGCGTGACTTAAAACTCTTTCTTTCTGTCTCTATCGGCTTTAAAAAGAGATTTTTAAGCTTCGCTTAAAGTCAAAATAACATTAGTACAACCAGATCTTAGCGCGCGCCTACCCGGTAATCTCCGTGCCACAAGCGACCGCAACCGATGCGCGTATACTTGGCAATAGTCCGCGCGGATACACGTGTTTATTTAGTGATATTTAGTTTCTTTAGAAATTATATAATATCTTCTAAAGTATTACGAAAATTACAAAATGATAAAGGACTTTTCGACTCTGTTCGATCAACTCTACTTGCTCACGAGAAACGATCTCGTAAATCGGGGGCATCCTATATGTCCTTCACTGACTTCCAAAAAATTTCCTTATTAAGATAATAAATAAAAATAAAAAATCTTTGCATAAATAATACATTTCATAAAAAATACATTCATCAAAAATATTTCATCGAAGATACAATAATTAATATATAAATAATTACAAGAGTACGCACCTATCATGTTTTATGCATTGTATGTATAAAATATACAAGTGTATATAAAATATAAAATATACATTGTCTAATCAAACTAATATATTTAATTCTGCTAATCTGTATTGTCGTGTTTGAGGATTTCTGACAAGAACGATGTTAGATTTTTTGTTAATCATTCCGAGTAATGAGATTAATGTGATATATCCGATACCAATACCTTTTGCTTGACTAAATGAAAAGTCTCCTAGTGTTATATATCCCATAACTTCTCTATCGCAAGAATAACGAACTTCTGCACATTTTGGAAGATATAATTCAGACATTTTTATCAGTTGATCAGATATAATTTTACGATGCGATGAAACGATTATATGTTCATTTTCGTTCAACTTGTCGGATTCTTTTAGTAACTTTAACGCATTGTTTTTCAACACTTGTTTCCGTCGAACTCTTTGTCGTCTTAGTCGTTTTAATAGTATCAAATGATTTTTTCGTAATGCTTTACGAATTTTTTCGTTTGGATCGTTATGACATTTTTCTACAGGTCCAAACCATTTCTTATTAGTTTTAATCTTGTTCAAATCTTCGAATGTCGGCATGCATATGATAGCAAATTTTTTTGGCGATCCTTTTCCCATTATAGATACATGAACATGTATTAAACAATTTTTATAATCGTCTAAATTTGGAAAACTAGATGACGTATTTTGAAAGAGAAATTTTGCATTTTTATTTTTGGCAGGACAAATGCCTGCTTGTAACAGTAGCAAGATTTCGCGATTTCTTAAAACATAAAAATCTTCGTTGCCCGACCAGTTTTTCATCAAATTTTTCCAATCGCAAAAGAAAGGACTACGAATTCCAAACTTAACAAAATTAATTCTTCTATTTGGTGGGTAACGGAAATATTTTTTAGTCAATTGTTCCTTTGTAATTAATGCTTCTCTCATGTAGGCAGGACTGTCAGGATCATTGACATCAGGTGTATTTGGATTCAAACTTTCAAAAGCTATCGATCTTGATTCTTGAAGTCCACCTGCTCTTGCACATTGCATTAAAAATGCAAGCCAAAACGGCATTGCCCATCTGGCTGGTATAATAACATCTATGCCAGAACCTAAACCTGTCAACATACGTCATTGCATTATTCTTAATAAATGATATTTAAAGAAAAAAATTGAAAATTAAAAAATTTTATAAGATTATATGTAGGATAAGTTTTTTACATGTATAATCTTATTTTTTATTTTTGTATTTCATGAATATATGTATACGTGTGTATATATATATGTAT